TGTAACTTTAACACTTCTGAAAATCTAGAGGTCAGTTATTTTGTACTCTTCCTCAATGTTGGCTGGTCTGCCATTACCTCACCATTAGATTGAGAGGATGTACTGTTGGTGGAAATGCTACAGACGTCTGCTTTGCCCGTCCCTGCCTCCACTCGGGGACACAGCATTTCCATGTGTCCCATTGGAGTGTGTCAACTTTGATTATAAGGCATCTGTCAGGTCTCTTTACTTTAAAATTACTTTGTTCTCTTGGTTACTAATCAGTATTTTGTGGGGAGGTTATTGAGACAATGTAAACATCCTGTTCCCCTTTAAAATGTTACCACCAATTCTAACATCGATGAATGTTTCTTCTTAGCGTGAATCATCACTGACTGCTGCCACACGGTGATCCTTGGATTTGTCGTTCCTTGTACATAGATTTTATTCTACTCTATGGAAATGAATTTTATCCTTATTTATTCAATCATCGAACATGATTTATATATTCATATTCATAATTGTGATGATCGTTTGTTACAGTTTCTCAAATTTTCCCAGTTTTGCCCAATGAAAGACTGTTAAAGGTAGCTTCTATGTCCATAAAATATGGCCTCATTCTTTGAGCATTTTCTTACTGTCTATAATAGCAAGATGCCCCAGGCTGGTCTTGAATTTGCTTTGTGCCTGCCTCTAAAATCAACCATTTCTTCAGGAAGCCTCCTCTCCTGTTTGGACTTTTTTTTTCTTCTGGAGTATGGAGCTCTGGATATTAAGATCTGAGTGCTATGTAATTATTATTATTGGGGTATTATTCTCTTAGTCAATTCTGTTGGAACTAGAAAAACCACACGCGTGAGTATGTGTTGTTATTAGGGGCTGATATCGGGTCCATTTCTGGTGCGTAGCACCCTCATGAGACAGAGTCGAGCTGCCCCATTGGGCTCTTTAGGTTGTGATCTCTTCAGAGGGGGATCACCAGGTATGTCCCCCCTCGGAGTTGTTTGGTGAGTTCAAGCCACCAACTGCGTAACTGTTGAAGCACCGGGGCTTCTCGTGTATGTCCACAGACAGGAAGGAGCTTCAGAAAGTTCACAGGTAAATTCCATTATGTTCTCATTCTAGCTTTCCTTGAACTTTCTGAAGCCCTCCTCATATGGCTGCACACACATTTACATATCTAGCCATTGTAAATCCTGGAACTCACCATGACACGTCAGTTCTCAACCCAATTCCCCAAGGCGCCATCTAGTTCCCCCTTATTCATATCTGTAGCTCCCTTCTATTTGTGGGGGATGTGACTCTTATTGGTCTTAGTATGCTGACTTTTCTGAGGACCAATTCAATGTAACCAATTTCCAGGGGCTACACCACTATCCACCTCCTAGACTTCCTACTCACTGAACTCGGGGTTCATCATCCTATTCCAAGCCACTGCTGCCTCCTCCCTTGTCAGGGTCAGCGAGAAGCCTGGAAGACCTTGGCGGTCCAAATGACTCGTCCAAACTGCCTCACACGATCCGTTCTACTGGCCATATCAAGGACAGCTAGAGGTCTAGATGACCCATCCCGATGGCCTCACGTTATTCATTCCATAGACCATGTCCAAACAGCCTACTGATGAGCACCCACCCCCCCGATAATGAGGTGCAGAAGTAGGGGACCAACCGTTATGCTGGAATGAGAACCAATCAGGATGCAAGAATAAGGGTCAATGGGAAAGCAGGAAGAGGGCTGAGGCAAGCCGATGGGGGTCCCCAATAAAATCCACTGCCTTACCGCTGGGCATTGTGGGCTTAATCAAATCGTGGGGGGACCTGCTTCATGACCGGCCAAGTGTACGTTGCTTATGAAATCTTTGCCCTGCTTAATGTCTTGTCTGTCTTACTGTCCTGTCTCACTGTCCTGTGTGTGTGGCTCTCTCCATTGTGGTGGCAAACCACTCCGGGCAAACTTGCTAGCTTTTTGCTGAGGAAGAAAAGCCTGGCGACATCGACTTTGGAAACAAAAACATCCCTCATCACAGATGTCTACTCAGTCAACGCAACGCTGACACTTTGCACTGACCCATCACCTTTTCCTTTCTGAGTAAAACCCTCCTTCTCTCTGCCCAGTCTCTCACCAAGCTGCCGCCACAACCATCTCTCTCTCTCTCTCTCTTTCCGCAATCCCTGCACTAGGCTGCAGCCCTTGTGTCCACACACACCTATACCTATCTTCCTTCATGAGGCTTTATGGTTGTTTTTATTGTTATTACGGTAGGCAAGCCATCCAGTCAGCAGGATAGCAGGTAAACAGGGAGACGGGAACAATAGGAAGCGAACAAGCGTAGTCCTCAGTCCAAGTTCAAGCATTTGGATTGTTTCTGATGGGAGCTCTTAACAAACTTTTTTTATTGTTGTAGACCATAGATTTTTAAAAATAAAATGAATCTGTTAGAGAATTATTTCTTTACTCCAGAAGCATTTAAGGAAATTAATATTCTCAATGACTCTCTCTATAGCCTTTTACTTATCTTTCAAGTCCATGGGAAAAATAATAGATTTATAGCCTATTATTTGTGTGTGTGTGTCGGGGGGGTAGGATAAAGAGGAGTACAATTCTTCATCCTGATTTCAATGAATAATCATATCAGGGTCTTCTATATAGTAGTTGGTGTGTGTGTGTGTGTGTGTGGTTGTTATGCTTATTTTTCTTTATAAATCATTTTATTGGGGACTCTTACAGCTTTTATAACAATCCATACATCAATTATATCAAGCACATTTGTATACATGTTGCCAACATCATTTTCAAACTATATAACAGTTTCGGTTCCTTAATTATTTTGTCTCTACAGACATTAACTTGCAACAACCCAAAATGTTTTCATTTTTTTGCCATTTCTATAATCTAGTGCCTAAATTCAATTCAGTGAATTCAATTTCTTTAATGTCAAAATAAATCACTGATTGTGTGATATCAAATCCACCAATTTTAGTTCAACAATAACTAAATGGACACCTGAGAGGTTCACTATTACTTTAATGCTGTGAAAATGAACTGGTTACAATGATTAATTATTAATATACCCCCGCTCCACCGCAGGGAGACCAACAACAGAAAAGTGGGTGAAGGGAGACAATGGATGGTGTAAGCTATGAAAATAGTAATTTATAATTTAACTAGGGTTCATGAGGGAGGGAGGGTAAGAAAGGGAGGGCAAAAAATGAGCTGATACCAAGTGCTCAAGTAGAAAGGAAATGTTTTGAAAAATGATGGCAACATATGTACAAATGTGCTTGACACATGGATGTATGGATTATTATCAGCGCTGTAAGAACCCCCCCAAAATGATTTTTTTTAAAAAAGTTACTCTCACCTACAGCAAGCAAAATCTAGTCATCTACATATCCCATATTGTTGACAAACTGTCCACCAATCTTGATGCTGTGTTCTTAAAATACTCAGATTTGCTCAGCATGTATGTTGAATAAATATGGTGAAAGGAAAAATCAGTAGTTACTATTTCTATTTTTAAAAATTTTATTGTGGACTTTTACAGCTTTTATGACATTTCATACATCAATTATATCAAGCACATTTGTACATATGTTGCCATCATCATTTTCTAAACATTTACTTTCTATTTGAGCCCTTGGTGTCAGCTCCTCCTGTTTCGCTCCCTGCCCCCTCCAACCCTCAGGACCCCTTGAGAAATTATAAATTAATATTGTTTTCATGTCTTACATCCACATTTCTGTTGTTCATCCCCCTTGGGGGGGGGTGATTATGCGTCAATCATAGTTACCATTCTTGTTTTAACTCCTTTTTTTGCTATGATGATTGTTGTTCCCCTTTTTATTTGGTAGGAAGAATTTACCTCAGGCCAAAAAAAAGAAAATCCTGTGGAAACTCCCATAAAAAGAAACTTGCCCTCAACTAACTCATTTCCCACTTTTTATTCGTTTTTTTTCTTGTTATTACCAGACATATTATGACATCATATTAGAACAAAAATATCCTACCAGGAATTCAATTTCTTCTAAAATATATGAAGGAAATGTTAAGTTTCTTAATCCTAGGGTCCTTGTCTTATGCAAATTTCTATTCACTACCCCCCACCGCTATTCCTTATACTACATAGATGCTCACCAAGTGTGTGATACTGTCTTTACCCCTGAATTAATGATTCGGAGATTAAAAGAAATGAAGCCTTTTCATTTCAGCCCCTTTGGACAAGTTAAGTGTAAATAAATCTGCATTTCTGGAAATTATCCCATGGAATATGGGTCTCAAGAGATTATCTGTGAAAAATGAATATTGGAAATTCAGTACCTAAAGATCCCTGTTAAAAAAATCCCTAAAGCACGTTAGCATAATAAAGACCATGAAACCCAGAACTAAGAAATTCCTTTACTTTCCCTTATCCAAGGAGCCTTAATGACATAGTGGTTACTCAATGGGCTGCTAACTACAAAGTCAGTAGTTCAAAACCAACAGCTACTCCTGGGACAGAGATGAGTCTATTTCTGTACAGAGCTACTCCCAGAAACCCACCAGGGCAGCTCTACCCTCTCCTCCAGGACCCTGTGAGTCAGAATCGGCTTGGTGGCAGTGAGAGCTCCTTTATCCAGAGTATATACAGACCATCGAAGCGCATGCATGGATGTGGATGTGCACATGTGTGTCATAGCACACAACAGTCCAAAGAGCTGCCTTTCACAGAATACACGTTGGCCCAAACTATTTTTTTGCAAGTGAAAAGATGTGGCTTTTGTATTTTCAAGTCGCTATTGATGGTAGTTTAGAGGGCTTTCTATAGTTCCGTTGTTGCCTGCTGCCCAGGGCTGTGCTGGAGGATCCCATCTGCAATCTCTCATCACACACAGACCCTTTCCAAGTGCCCAGGTGAAGAAGGAACGGGGACCAATGATTGATTGATGAAAGGCAAACTTGTTTTTCAAGTTCACAAAGGAGCCAAATAGATAAGGATAAAAATCATTTGTTCTCGGTTCACTCGATGCTGTTTTCTTTTTCAGCTGGGGACCAAAGAAGGCTACCTCACCAAACAAGGGGGCTTGGTCAAGGTAAGGAAGCACGTCAGCCAGGAGGAGCGGAATGCATCCTGACACAAACGCTCGCATTGTGACAGTCGTTTGTTTTCCCCTCAAGAAAGTTGCCACCTTGTTTTGTCCCAGTTAATAACCCAAAGGTTGATGGTTTGAACCCACTGGCTGCTCTGGGGGAGCAAGATGAGTTAGTTAGTCTGCTTCTGCAAAGATCAGAGGCCGCGGGAGCCCTGTGGGGCAGTTCTAGTCTGGCGGACAGGGCATTAAGAGTCAGAATCAACTGCAATACAATGGGTTCACTTATTTGCTCTTGTGTGTGGTTTTGAAATTAATATTTACCTGCTTGGAGGGTTCATCTTGATGGAGAGTTAATTCATCCAAATAATGGGAATGACGTGAACATTCTGTAGTAAAACCTTTCTTGATAATTGCCTACATTTTATACTCAAGAAAACACACATTTTTATGGAATAATTGAAGATGAATATAGTAAATTAATTATAGAACATTTATTTTTTATAAAAATAAGTCAAATTGTATAAATTGTTTATCTAAAATACAGTAAAAGGGTCACCATGTCTTAACGGAAGTATTTGATAAAATCCCACGGCAAACTCAATTTAGGACTTTACTATCCAGGGTATCAAACTGCCTACCATTTATATCATTGTACCTTTAATGTCACTTATTTCCACGTGGTAAGATCCCTGTTGAATATGGTTATTTCTTCCTATCGTAAGAGTCAGGGTACACATCTTCTCTCATGGGGACTGACTGCCTTGCTGGAGTTTCAGCATAAACATTAGTCGTTTGTGTCCTTGCTGCACTGCATACTTCTTGAGGGCAAACAGTATTTGTATGCATAGAATATTTATCTTTTTAAGTCCTTTGTTCTTTCACTTAACTGGGAAGATTGCTGCCTAGAATAAGACTAACCCATTGCTGTCAAGATGATTCTGACTCATGGCCATGGCTTTGGAATAGAGAGTGTTGGTTTCCAGTGCCTGTGACCTTTTGGAAGTAGATCAGCAGGCTGTACTTGTGAGGTGCCTGTGGGTGGGCTCAACTTTCCAACCTTTCTGGTAACAACCAAGTGTGTTTCAGGATTCTGGGAACACAAAAAGAAAACAATAGATCTTGAATGATCGCCACAAATGCCATCGAATTCTTAAATAAGATTTAAAAGATCACGTAGTCTGAGGACCCTGAACTGGAACTTTGTTATTAGCAAAATTTAAAAATAACAGTATTTGCCACTGTGGTGTGAGAAATTACTAAAGTACAATGAACTTCCAAGGATTCTATGTCGTGAGTACTCAAAAAGAGTTCTCTATTCTTGTTAGAGAGCTAATAAGATGAAAATTCCAGTTGTTATAATCGACCGTGAATATTTATTTAGGCTATTTTATTTTTTTAATATTTTAAAATGATATCTCTGCCTATTATCATAAAATTAATGAATGAAATTATTCAACTTTTTATAGATATTCTGAATTTTTTTTTCCCCAAGCATGACTCTCACTGCAATAATCTTCTTCAGGATTATTATTTTAGCTAAGGACTAATATGATAAATAAATAGTGTATTTTACTTTAAGTAATAAATATTGTTTATTAGTCTTTTAACTAAACAAAATATCCTTTGTACTTTACAAAATCAAATGAATGAATTAAAAGGCTAATACACTGAGGAAAGAAAACTGTCTAGTTCAAACATAGCTTTCCTCTTCAAAGTCCCTGTCTTTTAATTAAATTTTGCTTTGTTATTTTGTCCTCAGACTTGGAAAACAAGATGGTTCACTTTGCACAGAAATGAACTGAAGTATTTCAAAGACCAAATGGTGAGAAACATTGTAACACATGTTCCCATTGTATATCAGCTCTCTAGAAGAAAGAAACATCTATTTTTTTGTAAACTTCTGAAAATCTTTTATTCCATCCCCGACCCCAAAAAGAATTTATTAGAAATTTGAATCTCTGATTCTTCACATGAGCAGAGCTCTTTTGCAAAGATGAAATGGGTATTACAGAAATTGCTCTGTTGGACTAGCTATGCTATGGTTTCCAGAAAAATATAATTCTGTTTTAGAGAATGAAATCATTCTCTTGCTACAATTTATTGCTTTTTTTTTAAAAAAAAAAAACATTTTCCTGTTTATTAAAACTCCATTCACTTGCTGGAATGTGTGGCTAACTGGATAACTGTCTACTTGGTCATGAGATCAGAAGGCCTGGATGATGCCTGGCTACAGGAAAATTGGATCAAGGTTTCTGTCAGGAAGAATCCCCATCAAAGCTGGGGAAACGCAGGACAGAATTTCACATTCTAATGGCTTCTAAACTGGAGCCAGGGAAGATGAAAGAGCCCCTGAAACGATTGCCCTAAAATCATCTTCAAACCTTCAATAAAAAGCATCCTGAAGTCCTCTTAAAACCAAGCAATAGTTTCATTTAACTAGTACAGAATGCCTGCCTTCATTGTACTCTTTTCAAATCAAATTCATAGCAGATTAGAGAGGACATATTCCATAGAGAATGCAGAGAGAAGTCAGTTTAGGTCGATGAGGGAGAAGCAAGAAAGTTTGTGTGAGAATGGTCGCATACCTCAGATGTGAGCAATGCCCCTGATTGGACATCTAGACACTGTCGAATTGGCATATTTCTGCCATGCATATCCTCAACAACAACAAAAAATTAAGTATGTTTTAAATGCCCATTCCCCATGTTCATTTCATGAAGATTAAAATTATCTTTTTTCTAACACAAAACTTCTGAGCAAGTAGAAGTTTAAGACGGAAGACCAATCTGATTCCCATTCATGTGTTAAAATCCACTGCCATCAAATGTAAATTGATAAATACTATCTCTTCTTATGACCCAGTGTCATGAAAGGCTACCAAAAAAAGAAACCACTGTACCTGAATTTATGCTGACTCATAACAACGCCATATAACAGAGGAGAATGACCCCTCTGGGTGAGGGAGGTTGTGAATCCTTCCAGGAGTGGACTGCCTCATTGTTCTCCCACTGAGAAGCTAGTGGGTTTGAACAATTGACTTTGAAGTTAATAGCCCAAATGCATAATCCACTACGTCATCAGGGATCCTCCTGTTACCTTCAAATCAGGTGTATGACTTCCTTTTATATGGCTTCTCTATTTCTAGTCCTTTTAGTGAAATTAAAATTCACAGCTGCCCACCGTAGGAGAATTGTTAGGGGAATCATTATGAGCAGAATTGTGTGTGTGTGTGTGCATTTTATGCTAACATGGGTTTGTTGCTTTTTGCTTGCTTTTTAAATAAAGTCACCAGAACCAATTCGGATCCTAGACCTAACAGAATGTTCAGCTGTACAGTTTGATTACTCACAAGAAAGAGTAAACTGCTTTTGGTAAGTTGTTTTATAATTGAAATATTCAATCACTTATTTTAACTATCACACCACTGCCATTGAGTTGACTCTGACCCTTAGGGACCTACACAACAGAAAATTGTATGTTTTAATGTAGTCTAAATGTTTCTGAAAAATAAGAATATCAGCTGTAGAAGTACAATTATAAAATTTCTTGAAAAATTCCATGTCTCTCAATTCCATTTTCTATGAGCTTTCTGAAGCCCTTTCATATTACCATAGCTAAGAAAATTTCCATAAAAATTCCACATGACCTAGCAGGGGTAAAATTTTCACATATGTGCTAGTCTGGGTAGACTAGAAACAAATTCATAAACATGCATATGTTTATAAGAAAGAATTTTATATACAAGAACAATTGCATATTGAGAAAATGTCCCAACCGAGTCCAGCTCAAGTCCATAAGTCTGATATTAGCCCATATGCCCAACACCAATCTATAAAGTCCTCTTCAGACTCACAAAACACAAGCAATGATGGTGAATGCAGGAAGATCACAGGCCCGTGGGTTGGAAGTCTTGTGGATCCAGTGGCGTTGTAACCATCTCAGAGCTGGCATGGATCTCTACGTGGCTTCTCCGGCTCCTGAGGCTCTGGTTGCATCAGGGTAGTTCCATGTGGCTTCTCCAGCTCAGGACACTAGTGTAGTTCCGTGTTTCTTGTCAGCTTGCAATGTCTCCCAGGGAGTGAGCATTGATTGAGTCTCCCGCCTCCAGGAAGGAAAATACAGCAGTTCCCAAAATTCTCAGGAGAAGGCCATGCCCACACAGAGGTCTCATTGGCTATCTCCAGATTGACAGGCTAGACACCACCCCTACACTCTTAATCCACAAATTGACACTAGATTATGTAACCACCACAACATATAACAAGAAATCTGGAGGCAGGTAGCTACCTTGAAAAGGTCAGGTTCAACATCTGTACCTTATTTGGGCCTTTTCCTCATACCTGTTGCTCAACATCCAAGATGGCTACTCCAACTTCTGGTTTCATGTACGCATATAAGAAAGAGAAAGCGATGGCACGGGCCACGTTTTTTTCTCCTTTTTTTTTAAAATCAAGAAGGCCAAAAGGTTTTCCAGAAACTTCCCTATTAGGTTTCCCTTTATATCACATTGCCTAAGAGCCCCATGGGCATCCCTAGCAACTGGACAGGCCAAAAAGAGAAATAGAATGAGACTTATTGCGTGTGGATTCTGCGGTCAGCAAGAAGAAAGGACAACACTACCTGTGTGAGTAGCTGATTTATAGACCATGCACAGTAAGTACCAAATAACAATTCTAGGACCCTGTATAATGTAAGGTCACCCCTCTTCTCACCACACTCCTGGACCTCTCAGCCCTACTGAACCTCACATTGGGAACTGAACTTTGTATACATGAACTTAACTCTTGCCTATTTAGAAATTATTGGTACAAACAAAATTTGCCACTTAAGCTTTTGGAGGTAGAAACCCCTTCGCAATTTTAATTCCTGGTGTTTTTTTTTTAAGACTTTGATGTTTTGCTTGTCAACTGGGAAGACAGGAATTATGGGCAAGGCATTAACTATGATTGCCCTTTTAAGTCAAATGATTTTGAATATATATCCAACAATGCAAGCCAAATACTATCAAGTTAATTCTGGTTCATAGCAATGTACAAGACTGAGTGGAACTGTTCCATCGGGTTTCCTAGACTGTAAATCTTTCCATGAGCAGACAGCCTCATCATTCTCTCATGCAGCTGATGGAGGATTTGAACCACTGACTGGTTAACAACTGACACCTTTAACCACCGCACCACCATGTACCATTATCTTATGACCAGTGGTGGTCAAAATGAATACTTGAAGGGCATTATTGTCTCTTTTTCCTGTCCTAAGTAGCTGAAAATTCTCACAACCAATGAAGATGAGCATTGTCTCTGTTGAAATGATCTAACACAAACACATGTTCTTCAGCAAACTCTACAATTTGTCTTGCTAACTCCTTAAATCATAGCGCAGGCACATGGAGTCATCTGAGTGATCAGCTGAATAAGCACATAAATGGTGTAGTCAGCCCAAAACGAGGGAAAAAGAAGGCTCTAAAGGGTTTGGAGTGTGCTGAACATGCTTTTTCTTTTTTTCCTTCTTGGAAGAACCAGTAAAGAAAATAAATGTGCCT